GCATCGACACAAAAAGGCTATATCGAGGCTAGAGCGAATTCAAATATTTAAACAAAAGACAGTTTTTGAAATCAGACAAATGGTCCTTCAATTTACTAAAACTTTAGTTTAAAGCAAAATTATCTATGTACATAGAAAATTCACAAATAAGATAAATTAATAAAACTATAAAATCATATTACACTTATACAATATATTATAGTTTGGAATATATTCCAATTTCTTTTAGAACAAAAACAATATCTTCAACAGGAATATTATTGAATAAATCATACATATCATTTACATTAAAATGTTCTTTTCCGGATATCGGAAAAGTCAATACATTCAATTAAGATATGTTTAATTGTATACTTGCAATCGCAAGGTATACATACCGGTTGAATTGCTAGCATATCAAATACGGCATCTACAAATAACACACTGATATTTCCTGCATATACATTTGTTTAAAGGTTTGCATATGTTTGGTTTAATTTCATGCAATTTATTGCCGTTCCTTTTACTCCAAGCATTTTTCCATATATTTTAAACATATTCCCTTAAATAAGATTTAAAATCAGTATATTATATGTTATTTCACATTTAGATATTGGGTCGTGCAAGGCATTCTTTGCTTCCTGATCTACAACTGTATTTCCGTGGATGCCTGTATGATTTGACACCTATAGAAATATAATTTCATTATTGAGAATTTTCAAATTTCTCATTACGTAAAGGATTTTTAGAATTAACGGGTTTTTAATTTTGGTATTTTGTATTGCTTTTAAACATGTTAACGAATCAGAACATTAGTTCAGCAGATCGGTGAGACAATTGTGGGTTCGATGATCAAAGCACCAAATACTGGTAATAGTTCTGGGTGTTTCAAACAATTTTTGCTATTGACCAACCATGAAATTTCAAAATGGCGGATAATTCCAAGATGGCCGCAGTAAAATATCAAAATCAAAATATATCCCTTATATAACGTCACATTTAAGGTCAAATGTGGCATGATAGTAGTGTTGGTTGTTTCGAAAAATATTAGCTATGAACCCACCTTGAAATTTCAATATGGCGGCATATTCCAAGATGGCCGCCACAAAATATCAAAATATCCCTTGTATTAGTTCAAATTTGTCATCTTAGTAGTGCTTGGTGCTTCGAACAATATAAGCTATGGACCCAAATTGAAATTTCAATATGGCGGTATTTTCCAAGATGGCCGCCATAAGTTATCAAAATCAACAAATATCCCTTATAGGTTATAAAGTGTTTTGTTTTGACGTACCTTCAGTAAAACTAAGTACCCTATAATAAAAAGCGTATGCCACTTTTATAACCTAAAGGCAAACTTTAAAAGATTTTGTGAGGAAAGTATAGAAAATCGTTACTACGGCACCATTCTTGCAGAATAGTAGCCTATAACGAGGGATTACGTATAGACACTAGCATAATTTCAAAATGTAAGCTAGACTTAATTAGAATGTATACTTCTCGACTCTAAAAGTGTTCTTCATGATCAACTGAAAGAGAACATAGTAATCATCTAAAAAATTGCAGTAATGTCAGGCTTGGCAGGCCATTTACAAAGCAGGTACTTGCTTCTTCTGTTTACTGATTATTTTGGTGTTACAATTAACAAGCAAGCGCCATAACCTGTTTAACAACGATACCTGAAAAAGCTGCACATGCAGGTAGTTCAAAAAGATACGATGTAGGCTATAATTAGACAATTGTCTAACCAGAAATAAATGTTTGCCGACCTGGTATAATTAGACAATTGTCTAAACAGAAATAAATGTATGCCGACCTGGTATAATTAGACAATTGTGCAACTCTATCCTTACATGGTATAATTAAGTTAACAAAATGATTACGCAGACTACTTGAAGCAGTTTATAATGAAAACATTAAATATGTCTTGACAGCATTCCACGCATGTAGAGCCAAGATAAATGGTCACCCGCCTTTATACATCTGTCCGTATTGACCAATGTTTGAGGAAGGGATCAAATCTGTAACAACCATTCTACATTCCATGAAAAGAATCCAAATATATGTTATTTTTTTCCGAGACATGTATCAATTACCATAATGATCAATCTTTTTTTTTCCTTTTGCAAAATTGGAACAGCGGAACTGGGCACACATATTTCTAGCAGAACAAACAAATAGTTTTGTTTCAAGTCTTCATATTCATGATATAGAAATGATATCGAACCTTATGTGATTAGTTAGAAAACAGTGAACACATATTAAAGAAAACATAGTACTTCATGAATAGCAGATTATTTTTTAAAGGCCATTATGCATCATCAACAAAACATTCCCATGAGGTTACAATCGGTGTACTTCTCATTCTTATGCAAAGATCCTAACTTAATTTTTACTTGGGGACGAGACCCTTGTAAGAACTATGTAACATTCAAAGAATGAATTTATTAGAGGGAAATTGAGAGTCCACTGAACCACAACTGGTCTGTAACATTAAATATTGAACTTGACATGCTGATGTGGAATCATTAAGAGAATGTTCCTTCTGGGTGTATTAAAATTCCATTAGACAGCTTATTTATTGGTTCTTTGAATATTTTTTTCCAAATTATCGCTTCCAGTACCCGTGCGCGATATAATGTCATTTAACCATACAGTTTAAGTGTTGCAAACGTAATTTAAAAATGGTACACGTAGATCAAGCCAATGAGTAGAATTACACACTTGTAAAAGGAGAAGGAAGGGCAATCCAATTGACCATCAATACCGCACATCTACGGCATTTAATGGTGTTTTGTCTAGGAACGGCCTTAGTAATTAACAAGTTTCAATCCACCTTTGAATAAGTATAACGTCATCAGGAAAACCCAAATGATGTTCTTCATCAGGAACGGTTTAAAAGCAAACACACACCATTCTCAAAGCATGTGAAAGCTTGAGGCTGGGGAATGTTTCGGCCTTTTACCAAGAGTGCTACTTTGAGTAAATGTGAATAGTATATACACTATTGGACATTAATCACAAAGGTATCAACATTTTGTAATGAGCTAATAAAATGTGATTGGCAGATATAAAACGGATGTCACAGTAGATGAAAATGCTCGCGGACAATGATGTTATATACGGTGCTGTTTAAAGGGTAGTGGGGAGTGGGGCAAAAACTGCATGTGTTGTCTTTGAGAAACATGTTGAAAACTACATCGATAATATGTTCTGTTTAGATCATAAAAAAGAGGGGTAAGATACTTAGGTACTCAAACATCATTAATAAAACAAAACAGATAAGAATATGGATAAAAAAAAGATTAGACTAACATCAGTCAGGAATCAATACACACAAATCTAACAATTAAGCAACACCAACTCCACTAAAAAACGGGAATGATTGAAAGACTGGTCAGCAGTCCCTTTTCAACAAAAAGTAAAATAACAAAAATACCGAACTCCGAGGAAAATTTTACACGGAAAGTCCCTATGCAAATAGCAAAATCAAAAGCTCAAACACATCAAACGATTGGATAACAACTGTCATATTCCAGACTTGGTACATGCATTTTCTTATGTAGAACATGGTGGTTAAAACTTAGTTTTATAGCTAGCTAAACCTCTCACTTGTATGACAGTCGCATGAAATTCCGTTATATTGACAGCGATGTGTGAACAAAACAAACAGACATAATAGGTAAAAATGTCAAAAATGTCAACATGTTACATCAGAGTGGGTTCATAGCTTAAATTGACTACCAATTATATATCTTCAATTGTGCAAAGCTTCATGCTTTAATCAACAAACCCACAATTCTTCTAAACATATACAAGAATCAGCTGGACTACATATGATAAACGTTGACTTGTCAAAAGTAGCAATAAACTGCAAGGCCATAATTATTGCTTTAATTTCTGCAGTAAGGAATGATGTTGCAGGAGGCAAGCGGAGAGTTGCAGCTCTTTAATATCGGAAATGCCATTGCTATTGTAACAATGGTATTTATTTAACCACTGTCGTGTATTACGTTGAATCATAAATACACTTGCACAAAGAAGATATATATACAATGTAGTTTTTTCTTCCCTTTTGAAGATGTTTTAAATAAGGTACGCACTCTTCCTTTTCTAACATTTGCATTATCATCTATAGTATTTTTCCAGTAAATCCTATATCTACTAATTCAAATATGTTCAACCTTTTCAACGACAAATTTTGTTTATATCAACATAAATACATCTTAAAATATATACAATACTAGAATACCGAGAGGACTCATTACATCTGTGAGTGTCCATACTTGTGAACAGGGCTTGTTTAAACAAATAACCCTCTTCTAAATTAGTAAGTCTTTGTAAAACTTTTAAATTTAACAAATAAGGTCAATGTGCAATAGAGTACGCCCTAGCCTTTCCATAACAGTTAAATTGCATGATTTTTTTACTTACACCGAGAATGTTTTTGTAGAACTTTTAACTTAAGTTTTCGGAATCAAATTTACTAATTGTTTTTCTATTTTAAAAAAAGACTGTCTGTTTAGCGTTTTAAAATTTGAAAGTACTATTTCTCCAGTTTCTGAGCTATATGATAAAATCGGCGTTATCGTGTGGTCAAAGATATGTAAACAACTATCAATATTCGGGATATTTTCACCGAAAGTACTTTATAACTTGAAGAACGCCTTTAACCCCTTTTGATACAAATCATATCAAGCCCTATAAAAATTCTCCTAGAAACAGAAAAAAACACCTAAATATTTATAATTTCTAACATTTTCAATGGGGTCATCATCAAAACAAAAGTTACATTTAATTAGTGTACAACCTTTGTTAAAAATTACAATTTTTTTATTTTTCCATAATTACATACGATCATCAGTTGACCCCGAGAAGATCGACATTTCCAGAAAATTAGAATTAAAGATGAAGTGTATAGGAAAAAAATAAGATTTTGACATTTGTTATTCATTATTCTGTGTCGTATCGTTGAATACCACTTTATTTTCTCATTGAACTTTTTATTATATGTTTCTCACCCACACACTATCGTTTATATCTGCACCTTCGACAAGACAATTTCTGACTTTTTCCAAATTCCCGGCTGCAGCTGCCTCACCAAGACCCTGTAAGAAAAAACATATATATTCCATTTGACCAGTATTCTCAATTCTAAATAACAATGGTTTTGTACTTTAGTATCAAGTATGTCATTTAGATGTCTTTGTAAAATACAAATGCAATAGTTGACGATATGTTATCTAGTCTTTGTGTATAACATGTATAAATATATTAGAATACATAACAGAAGAGCATTTCTGATGATTTGATTTTCATCTTGACCTATATTGCATCATATTCATTATTGCCTTATATACTTCGTCTTAAAAGTTTGGTACGCACCAGAGAGATTCGGAGTAACACGACATGTGCATGCAATCGGATCGCAGATAAACAAAATGGCGGAAATGTAAATTGCACCCTGCTGCAGGCATCAGAGTTGCAGGAATTGGATGACAAATCATATATGTTGCTGAAATAGTTGGTACTATGTTAGTACTCGCAAACTCGTTCATTATGATATACCGATTGGGGCAATATATCTCATTATTAATGCAATAGCTCTATAATATAAAAACCAAAAATTGTAAAGAAAAAAAAAAAGAAGATAAAAGCGGGTATAAACATTATTCGTATTTAGAAGTTCAATTGCATTTTGGTTTCAAAATGTCATCATGTACACACTATCCATATATCAACTGATTTTAATTAACAACAAGTGACAGGCAGATGTTTCTCTAGTGCAATTAACTGCGTACTCCTGAAGGCATAATTATCCTTCGATTCAGTCTTTCCTCTTTCATATCATCAAAACACAAATATCAAAACACGTAAAAGATGAGCATATATACATAAATAAGTTAGGTACTAACATTCGACTAGATTGTTACCTTACATTATTAACAACACATTCAGAACTTGTATGTCTAAAGAAATATACAAAGGCGACTGAGCATCCAAATTGTAGATTATAAAATATACTGTATGTTGGTCATAAACATACCTCTCTCCATATTTCATAATATTCCATGTAGGTTTGACAAAGTTATTGATGTCTAGAAAAAAGTTAACATCAGACTAAATCTGAATGTTATCTGTAAAAAAACTAAGTTCATTTATCAGTAAAATACAGAAAAATGAAAACAAAAAAGTGTCGCTTGTTACTGTCTTGTAGTGATAAACAAGCTTCCGGCTAAATTTAATAAAATTCCATGAAGGTTTGACAAAGTTATTGATGACTGAAAAACTTTAATCACACACTGAACCTAAATGTTGACGCCGCAGACACTGACGACGGAATCTAAGACCGCTATGTCTCGCTTTCGCGAAATAAATGTCGCACGCTCGACAAAAATTAACAATAATTGGATCCAAAGTAAAAGCGTTATTTCTGAATAATTTATCGTATTATTTGCGATACACATAAGCCCGATAAAAGACTTTAAACGTGATGTTCGAACGATCCACAATGTTTAAGGAATGTCAGATATGTTGTTGATCTCCGTTAGTGAGAATGATCTGCCCGAGTCACGTTTAACCTTGGATTCGTTTAAATTTACACCAAGACAGTTAAAGAATTGTCACAGTTTTCATAGTTGGGAAACCTCGTTATTTTAGATATATCAACATATTAAAAAAAAGCAATTATATAGTTGACCTTCAGACTGAATATGTTTTGAAAGTTCTAAAAACGGAGCTGTTTGTTATATTAAGTCCTGGAATTAAATAACGGTAGCAAAATTGTCTAATGCTGATTTTTAATACACGGAAAAGAAGGTTACTCGTCAATGAAGATAAGACAAATACAACAAAATGTATCTAATGATATTTTTGTCAAACAACAATTTACAGTTCGTCTTTCACACAGTCTGATGAATCTCGGTCAGTAACCGAAAGCCAACATAATTTACCTGAAAACTGATGTTCAGTTCGGAATTGAAAACAACACCTTATTTATTTCATGCGTCCGAAGCGCTTTTCTGATTTACCTTCATCAAAGCCGAATACTTCAAAGCCAAGGATGTATAAGAATCGAAACAGTTGAAGAGTTATATGACATAAAAGGACATACAAGGATAGCCAAATCCATCTTTGTTATCTTTGCCTGAGGGAGTTGATACCTTAGTTTCTTTATAATTTTAAAATTTTTAACGGACACTTTTAGAAAAAAGTTTAATATAAATCATGCTAGTACCGAATTAAATTTAACAGGTGCAATAAAGAAAAATCAGCAGGTAAGGCCAGACGAAGCTGATTAGGGTAATAATACGTATTATCATACTTCACGTACAAATGCAATATTTCGATTGGCTTATACGAGGGTGTTAATTTACTCTATTATATGGTAAATACTCTATTACCCTTTACGGAGACGCTTGATCAAGTATGCGCTTTATTAAATACGACTCTTTCCTATGGCAAATGCTCTATTACCCTTCACGGAGACGCTTGATCAAGTGTGCGATTTATTAAAAACGGATGGTTGTTATGCTCAATACGTCATAGTTTATTACTTTGAATTTAAAATTTAATCGACAGTTATAACAAAACATTCAGTATAATAAATTAAATAACACATATCTGAGAGGTGATAAAGCAGATTGTTACCCCTCGAAAAGACATTGTCAACCTTGGCTTCGCCTCAGCTGACAATGTTTTCTCGGGGTAACAATCTGCTCTATCCCCCTCTCTGCTATGTGTTATTTATATAATGAAGAATCTGGTATATCACAGGTAAAGTCATATACTTGACAGGAAGAAAACAAATGCTATTTTAACTACGTATGTCATGTATGTGAAGTAAGCGGAAGGTTCGATATTTGTTATTTGAGATTTTAAAAGAATTGTATCCTTTAAAGTACAACATTTTATGGACAGATATGTATCTAATAATTATAGCCAGAACGGACATATCAATTTTGGAATAATATTCAAAATAAAGACCACTAGGCACGGCTTAAAAGACAGTTAGATCTTCGTTATCAATTATTTCAGTTATCTTTTCTTAGAAAAATACATTAACAAATAGATACGACATATGCACTGATAAATAAAAAAATCTCATAATATGGACAGAAAAGTGGATTGCAATCTAAAAGCGTTAAGTTACATCTAGTGGTCAGAAAGTACATGTATCTATTCCACAAGTGACACCCATTGTGTTGCTGACGAGTTATAGTCTCATGATAAGTCACATTTGGTTTTAATCATAATTTTTTCAATTTACATACCGTATACCGGTTTTTTTTCGCGGGTGTAAAATATCGAGATTTAGGAGCAACAAAGTATACGAAAAATTTAAGTGGTTGTTATTTTGGCGGATTCTTAATTCCCAATTAAATATTTTGGCAGACACTGAATTGGTTGCTCCTAAAAAGTTGTAAAGGTGACAAGAAGAAAACAGTGAAACCTGTCTTTGCTGAATGACGTCTTATTTATTGATCATATTCAGTTACAGTTAATCAATAGAATATCGATAACTTAGATAATTGTCACAGGTGTACAATCTTCTTTTTAATGTTAGTATGATTAGTTACGAAATTGAGTGGACCTTTGATGTACTAATTAGGTTATACAATTATCATGAGTGACTTACAACTCTTATGTCATGTATATAATTTTACACTAATCAATTAGAGTACCTTACTCGCTTATATTATTTGACACTAAATCAAAACGGTATGCATATACATTTTTTTATTAGCACTCATGACGTCTTTTTATAAAATACATGTATATACAGTGCCCTTTGGCACTATTGTTGTTCAAACAAACACATACTGTTATTGACCTGCCGACCGGAATAACATTGATCATTCACAAAACGATATATAACAATCAGAATGTACCAAATGTATGCATATATTTTGGCGATTTTCATTAATCCGCCAAAATAAGCGAAAATAAACACCCCGCGAAAAAAAACCCCCTGCTATACGGCAATCGGGCTCATTAGGACTAAATGGTGGCTTTGAGGTAATTTATGCTGAAATATGTCTGGAAATGTGACACAAGGATCATGCCCCCCCCCCCCCCCCCCCCCCCACACACACACACACAAACTTATTTTCCATATTTTTTTTTATGAACGTATTGTTGGGATCAACTGTGCAAAGTTTAAGAAAAATCTATCATTTTTTATTCACACCCCAATACCATTTTGGAGGTATGATAACTATTTTTCAATTTTCAACCCAGATGCAACCATCTATCCATGCAAGACGAGCAATGTTTGTTAAAGTGTACAAAAGAGAACGAAATTTATGGAGACTGCCTTCAAAGATTATTGCAATCAATGTTGGAATAACTAAAATTAATAACTAAAAAAAAAAAAAGAATTGAAGTCCTATGAAAGTTGCATATAGTAGATATGTTAATTGTGACAAATTACAATTGTAGAAATGGTTTTGTCCATGCTTTACCATGCATGCTATGAAAACTTTATATGTTTTGTGGGAGGCTCTATTTTGAAATAAATATGCAAAATATACATATGGAAATGCAAGGAACTGGATATTGCAGCTGCCTATCCCTACCAAAAATGACTAAAGTGCCCCCCCCCCCCCCTCCCCCCTCACAACACACACATAAACTGAACCAGAAGATAGTTAACCATATGGTAATACTAACCATCACAGCCTAACTACTGAACTGGATACGCAAATGCTTATATTAATCTATGCCTGTTCCATGTACGAAATGTCTTATTTACACCATATCACATGTTTCACAGCATTTCATAATGCACCCCCCCATACCCTCATCCCTCAACCCCCACCCCCACCCCCTTTCCACCCCACACACCCCAACCCCCTCCCCTCTTCCTTATGTAGTAAAATGTAAACTGAAAAAATTTTCGAAATTAAAAATAAAGTTTAAAATTGTGCTAGATATTATCTCATATATATCAATAACAGAGCTAATCTGCCAAATAATAAAAAGATATGAAGGTTGGAGACTATGTCTTAATGTAAACGGTTAAAAAGTCTTCATCCGTTAAATATAAAAAAAAAATTCAAAATTTGGCTATCGTACTGTCCCAAGTTTCTTAAAACTCGGCTTTTCG